TTTACCTCGCTAGCCACAGTAGCCGCAACAGGAAGTACGTCAAAATCAGTGACGTCATAGATTCCTACCAGTACTGTCGCAGTGCGCTGCATCTTATTTCGGAACGCTATTTACAGTACTGACAGTACTGGCAGTACATTACGGAACGCAGCCTACGTCTAAACTTTTGCCACGTGCAATGGCCTGAAGGCCATGTAAACCACGCGTCTAGTGTGTGTGAGCGCTCCGCGCGGCTCACTGACGTGTGCCCGGCTAAAGGTCGACGCTGATTGGCTTGATTTATTGAATAATTACTCTTTTATTAGGTTTGTTTTACTTGCATACACAAAAAGTAGGCGCTTTCCAGCTACGTACACAGACGACACTGTGTAACACAGTGTCCATTAGTGAGAGAAAGAGCGTATCAGTGTGTCTCACTCACACTAGTGGACACTGTGTCGCTTGTGTACGTAGCTGGAAAGCATCCAGTGTAAAGTGTACACTTTACACTTTTAATACATTACACTTTTTGGGAATGGGGAAAACATCGTGTAAAGTGTACGCTTTTCAAGAAGAACGCCAGAGTGTAACAAAAGTGTACTACAGCCATTTGTGCATGGTGTTTGTTTGGAGCAGAGAGAAGACTGAGAGCGGTCATTCTATTGTAGTTTTTTACGGCTGCTTTCCTTTTAGGAGACACAGTCGACACAAGTCGACACAAAAGTCATTCTGTCTTCGTTCAGTATTCAGTGAGAAACAAAGACAGAATGACTCTTGTGTCGACTTGTGTCGACTGTGTCTCTTAAAAGGAAAGCAGCCTACGACGGTTTCAATTGCTGGTTTTAGTGCCATATCCACAAAAGTGGATCTTAAAGTCCGTTCCACATTAAACGCAAGTCGTAGGGTCTCGTGGAACTGATCAATCATGTTGGTCGATTTGACTCTGCGATTGGTCAATTTCACAAGATCTGCTACTTGCGTTTAATGTAGAACGGCCTTTGAGATCCACTTTTGTGGATATGGCGCTAAAACCAACGGCTGAAAACGTCGTAAAAAACTACAATAGGATGGCCTCTCTCAGATTTCTCTCTGGTTTGGAGTTTTCTTCATTATTTATTGTACATTTGATGGGTGGATTATTAAGATCTATTTCTGTTGAGTGTATTTTAAAAGTTAGCCTACCTATAATTAATAACATAT